GTTTTTTAATCCCACATCTGATTGCAGAAATTTGAGGGAAGTTTACTTCTTGCGCATGTTATGCATTAGCAGCGTCATTTTGATGAAGATCTTGACAGAAAGCGCTATACAGTTGAGAGATAATGCAAATATTGCGCCTCAAAATTCAACACTCCACACGACAGTTCGCACTTTAGTAGCTTTCAAGATGGCATCGGCTTAGTATATGCACTTGTTCTCAATATTTACTGATGCAGTATTTGGTAGAGGGCAACCAATGTAGCTTTCGTTAGTAAAAGTGCTTTGTTAGGAACTGCAAACAACAGTTCTTCCAGCTAAGTCTTAAATTTAACAAAACGTCCCTTAAAGGTAAGATGGCCAAATTTTATAAATCAGAAATTAATAAAATTAACTTCTTCAGCGAATTCTAGTTGGATATGCAATTTTATATAAATTTTTTTGTGGAAAAAACTGTTAACCTGCATATAGCGTTTTCTATTTCTGAACCCATGACGAGCATTAAGTAACACAATGTTAGGTATATTAAGAGGTTACATGGGGTTTCTCGGCTAAAAACTGCCTTTTTCAACATTTTTTTCTCATATAAGAAATTAAATATTTTATTCGAATTTTTTATTGTTACAAACATATACTATTAACAAAAAAGTTCTGAAGTTTTTGGAAAAAAATATTTTAAACGCAATGGCTGAGCTGACACCATTTCCTGTGACTCTTTGGAAAAAGATGCGTCCGCGTTGGCAGATAACTCCTTACAGGATCTTTTAAAGTGAAAAATATGTGTTTCAGTTAAAATGTTAAGTTAGAATTTGTACGAGGGGAAGAAACAGAAAATTGGAATTTCGGTAGAAGTTTTTACAAAAAAATGAAAATTTCGCGACATTTTTTTTTCCAAATAGTTGCAATCGAAAAAAAATCCTTCCTTGAAATCTTTAAGAATTGTGTGAAATGTCATGAAGATCGGTTGTGTAGTTCTCGTGAAATCTTGGCAATCGATTTCRAAAACATAGTTTCGAGAAAAGCGCGTTTAAAGACGGCGCACTTAGCCTAGCTAGCCTCGAAGGCAAAAGTTCTCAAGGCTGTATCACCWGAACTATTGCGCTCATTAACTTAAAAGCTTGGGACAATATTCTAGAAATGTTGTARAATTTAAKAAGACAATCAAAAAATCCAGTTTTTTCAAGAAATTTATCTCTGACATCAAGCAGTTTATTAAAGCATATTCTTCAAATTTGTGAGTTTTCACTAAATTATGTTTCCCTAGCCAAGAAGAAAGTCATAGTACATTCACACCGATAAATTGTTATCTGCTTTAATTCAAATTTTTATTTGTGGATGATCACAGTAGCAACAAATCAGAAATTTGTCTTCATAAAGGCAATTCCAAATGTCAGCAAGCTTCATAACTTATTGAAAGTATTGAAACCAATAACCGTTGTTTTACTTTGTTGCTAACAAATACCAATCTAGAATGCACGACAAAGCAATCTCTGTTTAAGGACATTAGCTGGCTTTTATTTCAAGTCATTTAATGCACATAATTTGTGTGCGTATATGTGAGTTGTGAGCCAGCAAAAAAGTGTGAGTGTACTTCAATTTGTAGCTACGAGTATTGGAAAATATATTTTAATAAAGGCACGAGCACACACACGTGCTGCCACCCACTTAGCTGATGTATATCTAATATTTATTTATATATCTACAGCTTGGCAATAAATTCGAGGGACATCTCTTAACATTTGTAGTTTCAGCGCACTTCTTCTACACACACAGCATGTTCGCCTTTATTATTTTTATGGGCATAATATAGGTAGCCTACCGAACGCCGCTACTCATATGTTGGCAGCCACCGAACGTGCTAATGTGTCATCAATTTGAATTATCGCCAAAATGTGGCAACATGCAGACAAGCCACAAACATGTTGCAAACACATACAYGCACATAAATGCACTGTATAATATTATAAGCTTGGCTATTATATGAACAGCCATAACACTTGATAAGCTGCAGTAAATAAATAACTTCACGAACTCATACATATACACACATACACTCACACAAATCTGCCCGCAACACATATCGGCTACGCTTCAAGCCGTCGCCGGCACTTAATGAGCTATTGCCTTTGCTCTAAACGTTTACCGGCCATAGGCTGGCCTTCGTTTATATTACTTGGCGCGTTTTTCCACTATATTTATTACACTTATTCCCGTTATTCCCTTTTGGTGGCAGTATTCCTCTTCATTGACTCATCGCTCTTTATTTCTTTTTACTTTGCGCTTCTTCACCATTTGGCGTCGCAAAAAGCGGTTACTTTTCCATTCCGTTTGCCTTTTGCCATTTTATCATTGCTTTGCTCTGCCTCAGTAGTTTTAATTTGAATTTATGGCCCGATTTTTTCAATAATTTTTTGTTAGTCGCCATTTTTCTTTGGCAATTATTCTCATTGCCGCTTGGTGACACTTTGTTTTTTATTCGCCAGCCAATTTAATTCAATTTAAGTTGAGGGCGAAATTTGTTATTGCCAGTGTAGAAAATTTGCCATTTGCTGTAAGATATTTCTGCGCTAACTTGTACCTATGTCCAAATATATAATAGGTATGTCAAAAAAGCCTTGCGGTATTTTTATTGAATTATCAATTGTTCATAAAATTTGTTTGATGTCTCATGCTCAGCTCTTGACCGATGTTACGGCTGCTACTATGCCGGTCTCTTTCGACCAATTCRGCGATTTTATCGCAATTTTYGACGACAGGCCTTCCGGAGCGTGGCGCATCTTCRGCSACCTCTACACCAGAATGAAAACGTTGAAACCATCGTTGTTCGGTGGAAATGGAAACTGTATCGGGTCCATAAACTGCACCTCCGTATTTTCTCTTTATTTTGCTCCATGTTTGCGACGCTATGAGGACTTAAAAGAAACGACAACCAATCAAAGACGTGTTAGCGCGTGAAATGAGCTTTCCAAAAGGATATAGCATGACCCGAYGCGACGAATAAAACGACGACGYRCTCTCAGCGCCAACTAGCRAAAATACCGCAAGACTTTTTTGACAGACTAATATATTTATTGGTGYAAAATTTAAGGTAAGTTTAAGTTCAAATACTTTTATCAGCAAAATTGAGCATATTAGTGTAACTCAGTAGTTCTATTTTACTTTTACAAAAGCAAAATCAGTACAGCCTTTTCAGCATTGGTATTGAGGTGCTTGTAAGCGTCGTTCAGTTTACTCATACTTCACCATCTAAACAATGTTTAAATGAGGAATGGTTCGCATACACCCCACCAATACTTCAATCACTTGAGGTACTAAAATATTCTTMATWTTTACTGCCGGGCACATTTTYCGTCTTAGCGAAAATTTAACATGCTTACACCTTTGTTCATTTACATTTATCCGCCAGTTGGCTAGTAATTCTTCAACCGAACTTAAGTGCTCCGCTAATATTCTTGATGCTATAATGTGGCATTTATTACGGCTCACTAAAGCTGTGTCATCCGCAAAAGTTGAAATCAATACATTATCAGCTGTTGGAAGATCTGCTGAATAGCGTTGGGTCTAAAGCACTAACGTGCAGTACACCAGGCCTTATCTGTCATTCTTCAGGTATGACACTTCCTACTTCAACCATAAATTGTTTATTCTTTATATCAAATATTTCATAAAGGTAGTATAGAAGACTGAATGGTCATGAAAAAAAAACTATTTTTTGGATAGCTTAAATTTCCAAAAATATTCTGTGAAATCGGCAAGGTCGTAYCTTGAATAGTTTTTGAATGCCAGCATTCTAAAGAACGACCGCTCGTAGTTATAAATATATACAAGTCAAACTCTAAACGCTTTTTTCTCGAAACGAAGTTTTTCGAAATTGCTGAAAACGATTTTTTTTTTCAAAATTACGCCATTTTGTTAATTTTTGATATTTTTCAAAGGTTGTTGTATAGGAAATATCTTCAACTTTAATAACATTTTCCAATTTTGTTGTTTCAGCTACTCGTTCGACGGGAATCATGTCAGCAGTAGGGGCACTTTTCTTTGGCACCTCCGAAGACAGCACATAACTTCGTTATTTTTCAACGTTTTTGTAAAAAAAAATAATCCTAAAATCTAGCTCAAAGCTGTCCAAGGAACTTCCAAACTTCCGAGTACTTTCTACTTTCTTTTAGAATTGCTTAATTTTTCAAGCGTTACACTGGCATAGCCTTTTAATACATGA